CACTGGGGCACTTTGGGGCAGGACTGTATGAGGAAAAAAAAAAGATTGCTCCCATTTTCTCTGTCCCATAGGGGCCCTCCTTCAGTCTGCATGTCACATTGGTGTCCCTGCTGACTCTGTGCTTGGCGCTTCTCCCAAGCTCTGTGTTCTCTCTTAGCCGTCCAGTTTATTCTGGGGATTTGAGCTAGTATTGAAGTGCTGTTGCCTCCCAGCTTGGTCTAGCCTAGCCTTCTCTCCTGAGCTCCACAATCATATCCACCTGCCAACTGGGTGTCTCTGTCAGAATGTGCCATAAACACTCCAGCTCAGGTCCAAGATCTGTCTCAGTTTCCCCTTCTGCCAACCCATTGTGTCTCCTGTTTTGCTAATTTCAACATATGGCACCAGCCTCTATCAGCTGCTCATGCCATTATCCTGGAGTAATATTCTCTCCCTTTCTTCCACTTGACGGTACTTCTGTATAATTTATAAATATAAATGTATTGTGGAAAGGTCAGAAAATATTCTGGTTGTGTAAGAAGTCAAGTATTCTGGAGACTGATGATCTATAGAAAAAAGAAGATGAAGATCGCTCCCCTGTCTGGCCCCTAAATGTCTCTATAGCCCTTTATGTCATCACAGTCCGAAGCACTATTTTCTTGTCATACTTTGCTGAAATGTAGTTCCGTAAATCACCGTGTGTGTTTCATGTCTTCCTGCCTTTCCTTATGCTGTTGCCCCATATTCAAGGGAAATGATGTTCTCGTTTAAGGCTTCAAAGCTCTACCTCCTCAGGTGAAGTTCAGTCTGATAACACAAAGTGGAATCTTGTTCCCTCCCTTGGGAAAGCCCATTGCACCCTGTGCCTTTGTCCAGCGTAGCTCCTGTGACCCCTCACTGCAGGCATGTGTTCCTGTACAAGTCTCCGGAGTGGGGTAGGAGCTCCTTAGGAGCAGACACTCCATCGGATTCCTTTTCGTTTCCCCGGCAATGGGGACAGGTCCAGGCATATAGCGTTAACTCAGTAGTCAGTAGTCTTTTCTTCATGACTTGATAAGTTAACGCAGTAGCAGGGCTATTCTGAGTTTCCCCCCCACAAAATATAATATCAAGCAAGACACGGAGTCAAGTGTCTGGGGTAGCTTTTTCTAGTCACCTCTTAGTGATGCTCTCTTGAGAGAGTATACAGAGTTCATTGACCCCCCCCACCTTCCAAGGACACTGGGCCTGGGCCCCACACAAAGGAATGCGTCTGGGCTCAGGGCCAAAGATGGCCACTTCGGCCTTGACTCTAAGGCACAAGTTACAAAAAATATATCCTGTGCCATGTTCCTTGTCTGGGCTGGCCACCCTGACGGGCACCTGACAGGACTTTAAAAACACCCCATCTGTGGAAACAAAAAAAATTAAAACACCCCATCCGTGGGAACAAGAAGAAATAATTCAAAATATCCAAATGTCTAAAACCCTAAGTCGGAACCCAGAAAAACCTTAGGATGAAAGAGAGTCACAGGCATAGAATAATTGGAAGCCTCACTGAGGAAAGGACGCTTTGCCTCAGACCTAGACAATCGGCACTCCCACCCGCCATACAAGCTATTGGGACTTCCCCGGCTGATTGTGGTGTGGATGTTGTAAGCACCGATTTGTTGTTCCCCTTTATCCCTGCTCCTTGTTCTGTTTCCCTTTATCAATAAACTTTGATTTCTTTTTTTTTTAAAGATTTTTTTATTTTTTCCTTTTTCTCCCCAGAGCCCCCCGTACATAGTTGTATATTCTTCGTTGTGGGTCCCTCTAGTTGTGGCATGTGGGACGCTGCCTCAGCGTGGTCTGATGAGCAGTGCCATGTCCGCGCCCAGGATCCGAACCAACGAAACACTGGGCTGCCTGCAGCGGAGTGCGCGAACTTAACCACTCGGCCACGGGCCAGCCCCAATAAACTTTGATTTCTTAAACAACCGAGTAGCCTTGGCGGTACCTGTCATTCCTTGCCCTTTGCCGCTGTGGGCAACAATTTTGGCGCTGTGAGCAGGATCCGCATTTATGGGCTTCTTGTTTAAGAAATCAAAGACCACTGAAGCTCCTATTGAGGTCCCGGGATGGCAGCACCCTCAGTTTTCTGCATTGGCCCAGGAATGGAGTCGTAGATCAGGCTTGTATGAGGCATGGAATAATAAGCTCCCTATGTGGGAGCCTATTCATGTGGTGAATGCATTGCAGACAGTAAAAGGAAAAGATGATGTTGCCTTCTTGGCTAGAAGAGGATGGTGTTTGTTACATGCTTACCGTAGGGCCATAGAAGACGGGGATCGCATACTAAAGGAGAGGTGTTGTTAGAGAGGGAACTGTCTGATTGCCAGTCTCGGCTGGCTATGGTGCAGTGCCAGAATTATGTGTTGGGAGATGAGGCTAGGACCTACCAACATGTTGCTCAAAAGGCGGCTGCGCGTGTGGCAAAATATAAATACCGCCGCCGCCGAGGACAGGTGAACATAAAAAAGGTTCATATGGCAATTGCATCGGCCGGCCCTAACTGGGACCCAGACACCTGGGATGGTGACATCTGGGACGATGATGAAAACCCCTCCTCAGATGAGGAGGCCTTGCCAGCCAAGACTGTCCCTGCCAGGCCGCTGCGGCGGCGCCGCTTAGAGCAGCAGGGAAATCAGGAAGTGCAGCAGGACGTAGTGGAAGACTTTACCCGGCAGGAAATTTCAGCTATCCTCGCACGGGCTACCCAACACCCCGGCGAGCCTCTATTGTCCTGGCTAGTTAGGTTATATGATATGGGGGCAGGTGGAATACAACTAGATTCAGGAGATGCCTATAAATTTGTTACTGTCTCTACTGAGCCTACAGTGCGTAGTGGCTTTAGAGACCGGAGTGTAAGGACCCACAATGCTCAAGGTGGTGATGGCACTACTCTGCTGGCCCTTGCCGTTCGAGGGGCCCAGGACAAATATCCTACTGATGACACGTGGCCAAATGCCGATCGGCCTTAGTATACTTTGAAAGATTGTTGTCAACGAATCAGGGAAGAAGCAATGAAATGGGCTGTTTTCCTGGGAGTGGCGGATGCATTGGCAAATATGCTTCTCAGCGTCCAAATCTGTAAGCGCATAATTAAGACAGCCCCACCTGCCTATAGGCAGGTCATTGTGACATTACTGTTTAATGAGACTGACACCCCTATATCAGAGGTGATATAAAGATCTCACAGCTGGGAGGTCTGGGGGAATGGAATACCACTAGGGAAGCTGGTAAATGCCGTGAGGATTTACAAAAGCAAAAGAAAAGGATTTCAGGGCAGCTCCGTGGTGCAGTGGTTAAATTCCCACGTTCCACTTCTCAGCGGCCCGGGGTTCACCGGTTTGGATCCCGGGTGCGGACATGGCACCATTTGGCAAGCCATGCTGTGGTAGGCGTCCCACGTATAAAGTAGAGGAAGATGGGCACGGATGTTAGCTCAGGGCCAGTCTTCCTCAGCAAAAACAGGAGGGTTGGCAGTAGTTAGCTAAGGGTTAATCTTCCTCCAAAAAAAAGGCAAAGGATTTCCCAGAAGGATGTTTTCAGCCCTTCTACAGGCAGGGGTTGCTAAAGAGAAGATTGATGGGGCAGAAACTAGGGATTTGTGGCCTTTGTTTAAGGAAAAAGGATTACATGCAAGGAAGGCTTCAGGAGGAATGCTTACAGAGGAAAAGGGAAAGCCCCCAAGTGGGGAACAGGTGGCCCCCCCAGCTCCTCCAGCGGCACCGGCTGATCCTCTTTTTGTTGATTTGTTAGCCTGACATGAGGGCCAAACCTCTGTACAGAGGTTAGGGCTGCTATTAAAACGGACGCTCGTCCCCATGTAGCTCTAACAATTTTCTGGAAGAATGGCTCAACAACAGTAACTCGAACATTGGTGGATATGGGGGCAGAGGCCACTCTTATCTATGGCAATCCTACAAAATTGAGAGGTCAAAAATTTCTTATTACAGGTCTAGGAGGAAAAGAAATTTCTGCAGTAGCCACACATTTGACCATGCAAATAGGGCAACCCCCTAAACGAACTTATTTGGTAATGATAGTTCCTATTTCTGAATATATAATCGGCATTGATATTCTGAAAGGATTAACATTGCAGTTGACAGACGGACGAGATCAGTTTGGGATACACTCTTTAACGTATTCTGCCCGTTCTCTTATTATTGGATGTATTAAACATGAGGTGGAGTTGCCCCCAGCCACTTCACTTGTACAAATGAAACAGTATAAGATCCCAGGGGGGCAACAAGGAATTTCAGACACTATATAGGAATATTTAGATGCCCAAGTATTAATACCTATAACTACAGAATGGAATAATCCCATCTGGCCTGTCAAAAAGAGTGATGGCTCTTGGTGCATGACAGTAGATTATCGAGAACTAAACAAGGTGACTCCTCCCTTAACTGCTGCCGTGCCTGACGTGGTCACCTTAATAGAACAAATACAAAGACATCCTGGTGTTTGGTATGCTGTGATTGATTTGGCTAATGCTTTCTTTTCTATACCCATTGTTAAAACAGTTCAATCCCAATTTGCTTTCACCTGGCTGGGAGGACAATATACTTTCCCCAGGTTGCCTCAGGGATATATACACAGCCCCACTATCTGTCATAGGGAGGGGGCGGAAACATAGTCCCACACCTCAATAGATTTAAGTACACAGCTAATCCATTATATTGATGACATCTTAATTCAGGGATTAAATCAGGAAGAGGTAAATTGTGCTTTACAAGCAGTTTTAGAAACCTTACAGGAGGCGGGCCGGCCCGGTGGCACAGTGGTTAATTGCGCACCTTCCGCTTCTAGGCGGCCCGGGCTTCGCCAGTTCGGATCCCGGGTGCGGACATGGCACCACTTGGCAAGCCATGCTGTGGTAGGCATCCCACGTATAAAGTAGAGGAAGATGGGCACGGATCTTAGCTCAGGGCCAGGCTTCCTCAGCAAAAAAAAGAGGAGGACTGGTAGTAGTTAGCTCAGGGCTAATCTTCCTCAAAAAAAAAAAAAAAAAAAAGAAAAGAAAGAAAGAAACCTTACAGGAGGAAGGATGAAAAATAAATCCCACCAAAATCCAGGAGCCAGCACAAACTGTCACATTCTTAGGCATAATTTCGAATAAAGGACAACGAGAAATCTTGCCAAAAGCAAAAGAAAAGATTTTGAGTTTTGCCCCTCCTCGAAATAAAAAGGAGGCACAAAAATTTATTGGCTTGTTTGGATTCTGGCAGCAACACATTCCACATTTAAATCAAATCCTGGCCCCCTTATATTGAGCCACTCGGAAAAAGTATCAGTTTCAGTGGGGTGAACCAGAGAAAAATGCTTTTGAAAATGCTAGACAGGCTATACAAACAGCCCTGGACCTGTGGCCTGTAAGGGGTGGGCCAATTGAGTTGCAGGTTCATGCAGCAGATGGATATGCAAATTGCAGCACTTGGCAAAAACAGGATGGGAAGAAGGTGCCTCTCGGGTTTTGGGCTCGAAAGCTCCCAAAGGCTGCTGGGAATTACACTCCCTTTGAATAACAGTTATTATCATGTTATTAGGCTCTCTTAGAAAGTGAGGCTTTAAGTGTGGGGCATGAGGTTATACTATGTCCCCAATACCTATTTTAACCTGGGTACAGGGGACACCTGTGTCTCACCGAATTGGACATGCTCAAGAAGCCAGTATAATTAAATGGTAATGGTATATTCAGGACAGAATGAAGCCAGGGCCCAAAGGGCAAGCATTGTTGCATGAACAAGTATTTGATCCCACACTTCCAGGTTCTTTAGAAATGAATAAAGAGAACCCCCAGGAGCAAGAATCCCCCGTAGGTGGGGACTGCCTTTTCAGCAGCTAACGGCAGGACAACAGCAGCATGCTTGCTTCACAGATGGCTCAGCCCGGGTGATAGCTGGAGCCCATTGCTGGAAGGCGGTCGCCTATAACCCTATGTCTCAAAAAACCTTGGGGACCCAGGGGAAAGGAATCAGTAGCCAGTATGCAGAATTGTATGCAGTTTACCAGGCTATCAAACAAGAGCTAGGAGGACAGTGTTATTTATACATTGACTCATGGTCAGTAGCTAATGGGTTAGCAGTTTGGATGCCAGAATGGGCTAAACATGAATGGATGCTTGGTAACCGAGACATTTGGGGAAAGCCATTATGGCAAGACATCTGGCTATGGAGTTCCTCAATGATTATTACTGTGTTCCATGTTGATGCTCATGTGTTGCCTACCTCTACAGAACACCTATATAATCAGCACGCGGATCGTCTGGCTAAGACCGCATCAGTGGTTACAGCTGCTTCTTTGGAACTAGCCCAATGGGTTCACCAGAAAAGCAGTCACTTGGGAGCCAAAACTGCTTCCAGGTGGGCACAGTAGCCTGGGTTACCTGTAACTCGTGATCAGCTCCAGAGAGCCTCAAATCAATGCCCTACTTGCCAAATTTTGAATAGGCGAGCAATTCCCCATCCCACAATGGGGCAAATCAAGCGTGGGCTTTATCCTGCACAAATATGGCAAATAGAGTATATTAGACTTTTGCCCTCACATTATAGAAAGATTTATGTTTGTACTGTAGTAGATACATTTTCTGGGTTTTTGGTGGCCCACCCACATAGGCGGGCTACCCAACAGACAACTATTAAAACTTTGGGAATTATACAACTCTATTTTGGCACTCCTCAGCAGATCCAAAGTGATAATCTGCCCACTTTACAGGTAAGTTAGTTCAGTGTTTTGCTAAAGCACACCATATTGAGTGGATATATCATATCCCTTATTATCCACAAGCTGCTGGTCTTATTGAAAGAATGAATGGTCTGTTAAAAACCCAATTAAAACGCCTAGGGCCCCTAACTAAATGGATGGATGATTTGGAGGGGCCACCAAAGTTCTTAATAACCGTCCCTTAGGAAACACCACTCCCCAACGAAGAATGTTGGGAATTACAGCCGCCATAGCAAAGGATAGAAAGAAAAATATACTTTCAAATACCCCTCTGCAGTACCGGAAAATACCTCCCTCAGCATCTGTCCCTTATCGAGCTACTGAGGAAGCTGCAGGTATAGATTTAACCAGTACTATTGAATGTATAATTTTCCCGGGAAAACAACATATAATTCCTACAAGAATTGGTTTAATATTTCCCCCAATACTTTTGGTTTATTAGTTGCACGCTCTGGATGGGCCTTGAAAAGAATACAGGTACTGGGGGGAGTAATTGACCCAGATTACCAAGGAGAAATCAAATTTATATTATATAATTCTGATTTAGAACCTTTCAAGGTAACTAAATATGACCGTATTAGTCAATTGTTGCTCTTACCATTACCGCATCACCCAATTGCTGAAAGTACAGGACCAACAATGGTCACTGCAAGGGGAGCTCAAGGCTTTGGCTCCACAAATTCCAGACGGAAACCAGGAATAAAAGTATGGGTTCGCAAGCCTCCCCATTCAGAGCCACAGGCCGCGGAGGTAATAGCACAGGGCCCCTCCGCCACAGTGGCCCTAATGTACCCTAATGATGTCACCATATATTATGTTCCCAAAACTTTTCTTTCTCTCCGTAAATGGAAATAGCTGTTCATTTGGTAGAAGATCCAGACTATAACAACTGCTAAAGATTGCTCCATGATGGTGGAAGCCCCGCCAAATGTAACAGTGGGTCAGCAGCTGACACCGCATTGTTGGACCAACTGCGCGCATCCCGTCGGACCTGTCATGGACTCTAAATGGACATTTAATCTTTGATCAAAAACATATTAGACAAACCCGTTATAAAAATTTAACTATGCGAAGTAATTATAATTTTAGTATACAATTATTGTCAGCCACCCTCCAGAGCGGAGGTATGTATACTTGTGCAAAATATCAAAAAGGTACCCCTGATAACGTTTACTTAAAGGTCAGTGTATATGTTAGTGTTATTCCTAATCCTACCAGTGCTTTAGAGACTAAAAAGTTATGGTTACATTTAACTAACGAGGTAGTAAATAAGACTGCTTTGTGTTTAAGAGATGGTGATACCCCCAATAGACTTCTACAGGCAAACATACTCGGCTTTAGAAGAACTTACACTAATTTTAAGAATATAGCTGGAACTGCTCACCTCACTTGGCAACCAATGAGTGATACAAAGGCTTTAAAACACTTCTACATCCCATTAACAGGTACCCTTGCTATGGATTGTCTATGTTTTAATTGCTCCTACATACCTACCTATTGTCATTATTCACAAAGAGTAAAAACCCTTACCTTACCCCTTGCCTTACCCCTTGGCTAGTATTAGTTATGTGGGGATACTATTAGTCCCCTAAAGTCGCCGGCCCCTAAAGCTTGTAGTGTAGGACAAATTGCACCTTTAATTGCGGAACACCCAGCTGTAAAGCTCCGTCCCGCTCGTGGTTTAAGTGCTCATTGTGATTCTAGCGTGAATCCATTACCTGTAACCGCAGTAGCTGCCTTGGCTGCTTTGCTATTACTCGTACCTGGTTTAGTTGTTGAGTTACACAGAACTGTAGAACATTTAGCATGTGCCCAACCTCAGTAATCAATGACACCACCCATGCCGTCAGCCATTTCTTTAGAATTGCAAGAGTTACAAAAAAATGCTTTAATTCGCCAAGCTGCTTTAGATTATTTATTTTTGCTGCATAAGTTAGCTTGTACCAAAATTTCTGGCATGTGTTGTTTTAATGTTACAGATCGTACTTTATATTTAGATGATATTATTAAAGATTTACAAGATCAAATACATAGTATCAATTATTCCCCTGGTCTCTTCTCATGGCTCCCTACAGGGTGGAACAATTATTTTAAGGATGCCCTTTTACTCATTATAATAGTCTGTCTTCTGTTCCTTAGATGTTAGTTGTGTATGTGTTTAAAACAGGGGCTTTCAGTTCGCCTAGTGTCCTGTGGATAGGTGGAAATGTCAGGGCCCATAACGTACAGAGTTCATTGACCCCCCCCCACAACCTTCCAAGGACACTGGGCCTGGGCCCCACACAAAAGAATGTGTCTGGGCTCAGGGCCAAAGATGGCCACTTCGGCCTTGACTCTAAGGCACAAGTTACAAAGAATATGTCCTGCATCATGTTCCTTGTCTGGGCTGGCCACCCTGACGGGCACCTGACAGGACTTTAAAAACATCCCATCTGTGGGAACAAAAAAAATAAAAACACCCCATCCGTGGGAACAAGAAGAAATAACTCCACATATCTAAATGTCTAAAACCCTGAGTCAGAACCCAGAGAGACCTTAGGATGAAAGAGAGTCACAGGCATAGAGTCATTGGAAGTCTCACTGAGGAAAGGACTCTTTGCCTCAGACCTAGACAATCGGCACTCCCACCCGCCATACAAGCTATTGGGACTTCCCCGGCTGATTGTGGTGTGGATGTTGTAAGTACCGATTTGTTGTTCCCCTTTATCCCTGCTCCTTGTTCTGTCTTCCTTTATCAACAAACTTTGATTGCTTAAATAACCAAGTAGCCTTGGCAGTACCTGTCATTCCTTGCCCTTTGCAGCTGTGGGCAACAGAGAGTTAGTTCCTACACGTCTTTTCCGTGCATCCCGTTCTGATCATTGCAGATTGTTGTTACAGGGATCTGTGTCATTCGAGGACGTGGCTGTGGATTTTACCCGACAGGAGTGGCACAGACTGGACCCTGCTCAGAGGATCATGCACAAGGATGTGATGCTGGAGAATTACAGCAACCTGGCATCTGTGGGTGAGGACTGTTGTCCACGTAGCTCCTGGTAGCGTGTGTTTCCTTTCTTGGCTGCTGTAAGGCGTGCAGCCTTTGTAGAGTTTAATGATACTTTAGTTTTAGATTCAAGGGTCAGAGATGATTGATCAGTTTGGGGCTCTTGGAAAGGTGTGTGTGTTCTCACTTCCCCCAATGAAAGGTTTAAATGGGCCCCTTCCTTGTGCAGCTCATGAAGATGCACCTTCCTCCTCCATCAGAGGCCCTAAAGCTCAGACAACTTGGCCCACGTCCTGTGCCATTTCCCATTAACAGGCCTCTGCGTGGCCAAACCAGAGATGATCTTCAAGTTGGAGCGAGGAGAAGAGCTGTGGATATTAGAGGAGGACTCCTCAGGCCATGGTTACCCAGGTGAGTGAGCAAGAACTAGACGTGTGGAAAACAGGGGAAATAAGAGCCCAGGAATTCAGGTGAGGCCACTTTGGGCAGTGTTTTCCAGGAATCTCTTTTTAGAGGCCCTTGCTCTTTGAAAATGACCGGAGGACAGAAGGTCTGCATGCTTCAGATGCCTAAGTCACACATGCCAATATCGTGCTTCCACTTAAATGCTCTCTCTCCCATTTTATCTTGATTTTTGGAGTTATTTGTCACTCTTATCTATCTGTGCCTGCCTCATCTTAGACATTTATTCTTAGCTAGGTATTCTCAGTTGCCTTCCCTCCCTCCATTGCCTTGCATGCCTTCTGTTGTCAGGCATGCATTCATTTAGTGATCTGCCAAATCTAAAATGAGTGTCGACTGTATGCTGGTCACGTTCTAGGTGTGGGGATCCAGCAGTGAATAAACTAATATCTCTGTTCTCCTGGAGCTTGCAGTCTAATGGAGGAAAATGACTACAAACAAACAAATACATAATGTTTGGTGGTGAAAAGAAAATCAGTATAAGATAAGAAGGATAGACAATGATGGGGCGTGTGCTGTTATGGAATGTGGTCAGGGAGGATTGTGAGGTTAACATTAGTGCACCAGCATCAGTGAAGCGAGAGGGATGGAGCCATGTAGATTCTGAGTATTCTGGGCGGAGAGAACAATATGTGCCAAGCCTAGTCTGAATGATATATCCTAGGAATAGCAAAGAGGCCGATGTGGCCTAAGGGTGGGTGATGAGAGTGTTCACAGGTGATATCAGAGAGTGAGCTAAGGGCCAAATTATGTAGAGTTTTAGAGGTTATGTGAAGCACTTTAATTTTATACTGTGACAAAGGAAGCCATTGTTGGGTTTTGAGTGAATGAGCGATATGGTCTGATTTGTTTTGAAAGGATCTCTCTCGCTGCTATGTGGCAACAGTTCTGTTGGGGATAATGCCCTCAGGCATGATAATGACCTTCGACATCAGAAGATTCCAACTTTGGATCAAACTATTGACTATGATGGATATGGGAAAGTCTTCTACAAGAAGATTGGCTTTGTTGGACATAAAAGAACACACACAGGAAATAAAAACTTTGAATGTCATGAATGTGGGAAAACGTACTGCAGGAAATCAAACCTTATCGAACATCTGAGAATACACACGGGGGAGAGACCCTACAAATGTGGTGAATGTGTGAAAACCTTTAGTGCAAGATCATACCTCATTGCTCATCAGAAAACTCACACGGGGGAGAAGCCCTTTGAATGTAATGAGTGTGGGAAATCTTTTGGCAGGAAGTCACAACTCATTCTGCATTGGAGAACACACACAGGGGAGAGACCCTATGAATGTACTGAATGTGGGAAAACCTTTTCTGAGAAGGCAACCCTCACGATTCATCAGAGAACTCACACAGGGGAGAAACCCTATGAATGCAGTGAATGTAGGAAAACATTTCGCGTTAAGACATCCCTTACCCAACACCAGAGAACTCACACAGGGGAGAAGCCCTATGAATGTGGTGACTGTGGGAAAAACTTCCGTGCGAAGAAATCCCTAAATCAACATCAAAGAATTCACACAGGCGAGAAACCCTATAAATGTGACGAATGTGGGAAATTCTTCAGAATGAAGATGACTCTCAATAATCATCAGAGAACTCACACAGGTGAAAAACCCTATCGGTGTAATGAATGTGGGAAATCGTTCCGGGTGCACTCATCTCTTGGGATACACCAGCGAATTCACACAGGAGAGAAACCTTATGAGTGTAATAAATGTGGTAATGCCTTTTATGTCAAAGCACGCCTCATTGAACATCAGAGAATGCATTCAGGAGAGAAGCCCTATGAATGTAGTGAATGTGGAAAAATCTTCAGTATGAAGAAATCCCTTTGTCAACACCAGAAGACTCACACGGGAGAGAAACCTTATGAATGTAGTGAATGTGGAAATGCCTTCTATGTGAAAGTACGCCTCATTGAACATCAGCGAATTCACACAGGAGAGAGACCCTTTGAATGTCAAGAATGTGGGAAAGCCTTTTGCCGGAAAGCACACCTCACAGAACACCAGAGAACTCACACAGGCCGGCCGTTGCCTTGTACTCTGGAGAAAGCTTCCCCGTGAAGACTCCTCTCACCATTGGGTCAAGCCCTTTGGGCCATCTGATCACCAGGGCACAGAGTGCACCTGTAACAATCTGGCTCCTACATTGATATGGAAATATGTCCTGCTCCTTTGAGGGATAGCTCATTGTTGCTTTCATTTCATTTGGGACTCTCTAATTAGTGGTGAGGTTGAACATCTTACCTGTTGATTGGCCCTTTGGGTTTTTCTTCTGTGCATTGACTGTTCATATCCTTTGCTCATTGTTTTCTAATAGGCTGTTTATTTTTTACTTCTTGGTTTAAATGTTGTGTTTTTGTTGTTTTTTTTAACATATGAAAATATAAAAATCCTTTTCTAGTCGTGTGTGTTCCAAATATCTTCTTTCAGACTGTGGCTGGTTCTTTAATTTTGTTAATTAAATTAACAATTAATCTGCTGAGGTTTTATGTTTTAATATTATCAATTTCAAAGTGATGATATTCTCCTGTACTTTCTCCTAAAGTTAAGGTTTTCCTTTCAACATTTAGAATTTTAATGTACCCTGAGTTTGGTTTTGAATGGTGTGAATTCCACAATATATAATACTATATTGCTTTTAAAAAGTTTACATGTATGGTATCATACTATGTTTAAACTTCCTCAGCTTGCTTTCTTCATGAAATATGACTGTTCTAAGATCTATCCATGTGGCTAGATATGTCTGGTTTATTCATTTCTCTCTCCATTCCCTTAGCGAGAGACCTTTGTACTGTTTCTGTGTTCAGTGTCTAAATCTAGAAGTGGAACTGACGGGCCACAGGGTGTAGGCAGTGTGCCAGTTATTACGCTGTTGTGCCCAAGCTCCCAAACCACCCTTCTTTACTGTGCTTGGTCATGCTGGGGCTGTGACTCTACGAAACGTGTGTCCGTCTTGCCAGCAGCTCCGCGTTGGGCCTCGCCAATAAGAGGTACTAAATATCACCTGTGAGCCTGGAAGGAAGAAGGCGCTTGCTCCTTTTTTCCTTCCTGTGAGCTCCCTCTTTATCCGAGTGTCAGGCCAGCATCGCTTCCTCGCTCGGGCAGCCGCAGCTCCTCCTGGAGCAGCAGCTTAGTCCGGTGTGCAGTTTTCCAGCACTCACAGCCTGATGGTGCCCCGCCCTCTCAGAGACGCTAGCAGCAGCCGACTGGGCCGCTTCCTTAGAGGCGTGAGTCCCAGCCGCAGGCGACCCCTCCTCCAGCCTTCTAATTTTTAGTAATTCCAGTTTCTTCCCCTGTTACCCTTCTGCAGTTGCTACCTCCGTGATAATTTTAATCTTCTCTGTCTTTTCAGTTACGTGGTTAGTAACTTCATAACTAGTTAAAAATTCTTTATAATAAGTTCTCTGTTGAAATAACTGGTATGGTTCCTTTCTCCTAGCTGGGTTCTGATTGATACAGAAGTTTTTGAACTTGACTAAATATTGAGTTTTTTTTCCTTTTAAAATTGTGCTAATTTATACTCTCATGAGCAGTTTGAGACAAAGTTTACATTTTCCCATATTCACCAGGACTTCTTATCAGTCTTTTAAATTGTTACCAATCTGAAAGGCATAAAATGGCCTTGAGCCTTTCCATCCATGAATGTGGTTTGCCTTTTTATTTTTTAACTCATCTTTTTTGGCCTTCAATAGTATTTTATGGTTTTTGCCAAGAAATTGTCTTTGAAAGTTAATCTTTTAATAGAAACTTTGCTCATATACATGTATATACATATATATTTCAAAATATAAGGATGCATTATGGGGGTTTATATATATATTTATATGTAATATATGTATGTGTGTATACACACACACAAGTATCTCCCCTGAAAACATTTTTGTTTTATATATTCATTTCGTTTTATCCACATATTCACCACCTTGGTTGCTCTTCATTCCTTTCTGCCTCCTCTCTGGGACTATGTTCTTCTTTGCCTGAAAAATCCCCTTTAGTGGAGGTCTGTTAGTGGCAAAGCTCTCAACTGTGTCTGAGAATGTTTTCTATTGCACCTTTTTTGATAAGCAAAAGCGAATCCTTTACCTTTAGTATTTGGTAGCACTATGCCATAGGTAAATTGATGTTAAATTAAATACCTTTTTTAATTTTTTTTCCTGAGTGTTCCATTATGATTGTGATGACCCAGGATATTTGAATTAATCATCAGATGCCCCCAGATGCAGCATACACTTGATATACATATTACACTGTCTGCATTTTGTATACAGCATGCCCTCACTCTCATTTACTAAGTATTAAATTTATCAAGATGCCATCTTCTCAGCTCTTCCAATCTTCAGCTCATCTGTTTAAAACATTAAATTTGATGTTTTAAGATTATTATTATTATGGAAAGTGTCAAAGAGGAATAAAAGTAATCTATAGCGACAGAAAGCAGATCCTTGGTTGCCTCTAGGGTGGGAATTAACTCCCGAGGGGTGGGCGGAACTTCCTGGGGTGATGGAGCTCTTCTGTATCTTGATTGGAGTGTGTGTTAATGGGTCTATACAATCGTCATCAAATGAGTAAGCTTAAGATTTGTGCATTTTATTGTATGTAAATTATATCTAATTAAAATTTAAAAGCAGCGATAAAAAGTTCCCTGTTGTCACACCGGGAGTGGTGTGGGCTGCCTGGGAGAAAACCAGGAATCCTGACCACTAGATCAGATGAAAGACACTGGCAGGGGGAGACTTTGTCCTCCCAAGGCTTTGGAAATGATCTTGCTCCATGAAAATAACTTTGGCTGAGGCCCCGTGGTGGGTTGTGCTGGCCCTCCCTTAGCTACCATCACTTATGTGGTATCCCCCACTGGCCAACACTGCTGTGTGTATTTGACTCCCCACAGCCTAAGCACATCCCTCCTGATTCTCCATTAGCCACCACGACAGTAGCTTTTACCCCCTGACGTGTCAGCACAGCGTCTACTAATACCCCATTAGCTTACAGCGGTTCTTGTCACCCCCTTTAGCCCAGAGCACAATGTCTGCTGACCTACCATTAGCTTACAACATCTTGTTTTATCCCAACTTTTTGCTCCAGCAGAGTCTGCCAACCCTCGCTCCCATTTGCTCATAGCATCACGTCTCACCACCCCTTTCAGCAGCCATTGCAATTTTTGCTGGCCCCCATTTGCTCACTGCATGGTGCCTTTTCACCCCTTTAGCTGGCTTAGTGACTGATGATCCTCCAATAACTCAGTGTCACGTCTTTTTGCCCTCCTTTAGACTCAGCATAGTGAGTCCCCCACCCCCCGCCCCCATCTTTAACCACTAGCATTGTGTCTTTGACTGCTTGAGGCCTAAGTAGTCTGCTGACCCCACGTTAGCCCCCATCACGGTGTCTGTTGATCCTCCGTTAGCCAGCAGTACAGTTTCTTCCACACCCATGAGGCCCCATCAATGTATTTGCTGACCCTACTGTAGCTACCATCTTGATCCTCCAGCCACAAGAGCAGAGATTAACCTCTGTGAGCTTCTCGCACAGTATCTGCTGATTCCACACTAGCCTCACCTTGCTGACCACCCATTAGCCATGAGCACAGTGTCTTTGATCCTCATAAGTCCCAATCACAGTGTTGCTGACCCTGCATTAACCCTCATCACTGTGCCTGTTTACCCCCCCATTAGCTACTAATAGAGTGAATGCGGTGACACCCCAGGACAGTGCCCATGGACCCTGCGTTAGAGCCCATCACTGTGTCTGCTAACTAGGTTAGCCTCAACACTGTGACTGCTGACTACCTGCCACTGGTTTAGAGTCCTGGCCTCACGTTTCTCAGTCACAATATCTACTGCTGATTCTGTTAAGTGTCATCGCTGTGTCTGCTAATCTCAGTCACGAGTACAGTATCTTGGTCTTCATAAAAAGTCAGCCCAATGTCTGCTGACCCCACAGTAACCTTTTATCACTGCTGATTAGCCATTAGCCCTGCTGAAGTGGTTCCGTCTCCACCGCAGCATCAGGCCATTCACTACCTGCATGCCTGTGGCCGCTGTCCCCGCTGGTGGACCTCCGCACAGTGTGCTGACTTTGTGAGCCTCAGCATAATGCCTGGGCCTCATTAGAGGATAGGGTCCTGGGGTGTTTTCTCAGCCCGGGCCTATTTTCTGGCACCACAGGCTTTTCCTGCTGCTTCTAGCTGTTCCCCAATACCTGGAACAGGTTGCCTTACCCTCTCAGTTGTTACCTCAATCCTGAGTACGTCCACACTTCCTATTGTCTGTTTTCTTGTTTCTCCAACTGTTTCTCAACACCAACGACTGTCATATACACTGGCTGTGGCTGGGGCATTAAAGAGCAAGCAGGAGTCACAGGCTGCAGACGGAGCACCTTCCGGGCAGATCACTTTAGTTGTGGCTGCCATGGGGAAGGAGACCCTACAGAGAAGCTGCCTACTTCAGAGCCCTGGTGTGGCTCCTGGCAGGATATCTGTAGTCCTGGAGTCACTACATTTCCTCCCATTCAAGTGAGTAAAGTGAGTAAAGTGAGTTACCCCTTGCCCACTGCCCCAGCATTCCATGTGTCTGTGTGTGAATCTCTGCTTGGGAGAGACTTGATGGCTGAGAGGGAGCACACGGGGGTGCCAGCCCTGTGAGGCGTGCAGCATGGGGTCCAGCTCACTGGGGAGCCTGGGGGCCGGCCCTTCCGTCACGGAGCCTCAGTACTTCTCCCTAAAAACGGGCCTCGCAGTCCCTACCCAGAATCCTTCCGAGGTCTGTGCTAGGGTTGGAGGATGATTAACGGGGGTATTTGCTCCTTGGGTATTTTTTCAGGTCAAAACACATGAATCTCTCCTAACAGTAACTTTATGTATAATATTACTAACAGTGATCTGATTTCTAGACAGGCAGTATAGTGTAGTGGTTAAGAGCGTGAATGCTAGAGCCAAATCTGTTTTCAAATCCTGCCCCTTAATGGTTTCTTAGATACAACACCAAAAACACACACTATAAAACAAAAAGGAGATAAATTGGACTTCATCAAAATTAAAAACTTTTGTGCCGCAAAGGATACCATCGAGAAAGTAAAAAGTTGGGGCCGGCCCGGTGGCACAGTGGTTAAGTGAGTACATTCCGCTTGGGCGGCCGGGGTTCGCCGGTTCGGAACCCGGGTGCGGACATGGCACCGCTTGTCAAGCCATGCTGTGGCAGGCGTCCCACATATAAAGTAGAGGAAGATGGGCAGGGATGTTAGCTCAGGGCCAGTCTTCCTCAGCAAAAAGAGGAGGATTGGCAGCAGATGTTAGCTCAGGGCTGATCTTCCAAAAAAAAAAAAAAAAAAGTAAAAAGTCAACCCACAGAATGGGAGAAAATATTTGCAAATCATATATCTGATAAGGGATTTGTGTCCACAAAATATAAAAAACTCTTACAACTTAATAAAAAAGCATAAATAAATAACCCAACTTAAAAATGGGCAAAGGATCTGATAGACATTTCTCCAAATGAGATATACAAATGGCCTAAGCACATGAAAAGCTGCTCAACATCATGAGACATCAGACAAAGGGAAATTAAAACCATAATGATGGGGCTGGCCCCATGGCTGAGCGGTTAAGTTCACGTGCTCTGCCGCAGGCGGCCCAGTGTTTTGTTGGTTCGAATCCTGGGCGCGGACATGGCACTGCTCATCAAACCACGCTGAGGCAGCGTCCCACATGCCACAACTAGAAGGACCCACAACGAAGAATATACAACTGTGTCCCGGGGGGCTTTGGGGAGAAAAAGGAAAAAAATAAAATCTTTAAAAAAAAACCATAATGAGATACCACTTCACATCCACTAGTCTGGCTAGAATATAAAAGATAACAATAGCAAGTGTTGGCCAGGATGTGGAAAAATTGGACCTGTCTCCTATTAGTGGTGGGATGTAAAATGGTGTAGCTGTTTTAGAAAACAGCTTGGAAGTTTCTCAAAATATTAAACATAGAGTTACCATAAGATCCAGGAATTTCACTCTTGGGTGTCTGCTCAAGAGAAATGAAAACCTATGTCCATACAAAAGCATATACACAGATATTCACAGCAACATTATTCATAGTAGCCAAAAAGTGGAAACAACCCAAAATGCCCATCAACTGATGAATGGATAATCAAAATGTGGCGTATCTATACAAGGGAATAATATTCAGTAAGAAAAAGGAAGAATGTACTGATGCATCTTACGACATGGGTGAACTTTGAAAACGTGTTACTTGAGAAAAGCCAGTCACAAAAGACCATGTATTGTATGATTCCATTTATATGAATTGTCCACCATAGGCAAAACTATGGATACTGAAAGTAGATTAGTGTTTGTCTAGGGCTAGGGGGGAGGGAGGTGGGAGAAATGGAGAGTGACTGCTAATGGGTACAGAGTTTCTTTCAAAGTGATGAAAATATTCTAAAATTCTATTGTGATGGTTGCACAACTCTGTGAATATACTAAAATTAATTGTCATGTTAAATGGGTAAATTTTATTGTATGTGAATTACATCTCAATAAAGTTTTAAAAATGTATTAAAAATAAAAAAGATTTTAACTAGGTCAGTATTTTTAAATTTGAGTCCTCGTGATATTTTTTAAAGAAAAATAATTTAATTAGTGCATGCTTACAATTTTGAGAAAAAAAATTCCTGCCTTTTCCTCGTCCTAGCTGTGTGTCCTTGGGGAAATCATGTTACCTCTTTATGCCTCAATTTCTACATCTGTGAAATGGGGATGAAAATAATGCCTAACTCATAGGGACAGTGTGAATATTAAATGAAGTCATATGTGTAAAGTGCTTAAAACAGTGCTAGGCACATAGCTCTCTGTAAGTGTGTTACTGTTTTTTGTAGTAATGGTAAATATGATTTAATTTATCACTTAGTGATAAATCTTAGTGATGATTGTTTACAATATTGCAAATAATGTTTCATTATGAATGATAAATTACAATATTGGAAAAATGTATAATATTAGTAGTAATAATTTTAAGCACCCTGGCACCTTTAGTTTAACTCCTGATTTTGGCAGTCTCTCCCAAAGACATTACCAATATTTAACCTGCTCACTTATAATGTTTTTCTTCTTCTGATGATGCTCATACACTCATTTCTAATGTGCAGATTCCCCCACCGACAAATGCCAACTCTTCAAAGACTTCTGAGGACAGCCATGCCCGTAGGTGGTCATGCTCCTGTTCCTGTCTCCAAGTGAGGCCATATTCTGAGGTTCTGGGGCTTAGGACTTCAGTGTTTCCTTTTGGAGGACACTGGTCAACCCATCCCAGTTCTCCATGATTCAGTCCTCACTGTGGACGAACACCCACATTTATAAATCTCTACTGTTGCCAAGACTACAGATGACAAATCCCCAAGCCCTCGGTATAATAATTCCCTTGAGAAGTTCCCTCTCGGTGTGGCAGATCCCCTCTTTCACAAATACCCAAATGGCAAATATTGTACTAATTTTCTACTGCTGTGTAACAAACTTGGCAGCCTGACACAACCTGCACTCAGCACCTCACAGTTCTGTGGGTCGGAGTCCGAGCGAGCTTGTCTGGGTGCTCTGCTTGATGGTCTCACAAGGCCAAAGGCGAAGCGTGGGCTGCCCTGGGCTCTTACCTGGAGACTCAGGAAGACTCCTTTCCAGTTACTGGAAATCAGGTTACTGGCAGAAGTTAATGCCTTGCAGTTCTACTACTGAGGTTCCATTGTCTTGGCTGGTGGTCAGCCACTGGTTGCTCTCTGTCCTAGAGGCCAATTGCATGCCTCACCATGAGAGCCTCTTCATCTGCAAAATCAAGTGCTTCTCATGCTTCCAGTTTCTCCGACATCCTCTTCTGCCACCAGCAGGCGAAAACTGCATTTTTGAAGGGCTCATGTGCTTAATGAGATTAGGCTCACCTGGATAATTCTCCCTATTTTAAAGTCAACTGATTAGTAAAGTTAATTTCATTTGCATTAAAAGATCCCTTTTGCTATATAATGTAATATAATCACGGAGTTATATCTCATCATGTTCATAGGTTCCACCCACATTCAAGGGGAGGAGTTTATATGAGGGCGAGAGGGAGATTGGGGGTCTCTCTTAGGATTCTGCTTACTGCAAACACTTTTGCACTTTTTTTCTCCTTATTCATAAATATCCCACTGGCATATCTCCCTTGATGATCTCCTTTGGCAAATTTCCCCTTTCATAAATGCCTACCCATTGGCAAATCTTTCATTCCTTAAGGTGTTGGGGGAAAAAAATCACCCCATTCAAAAATATCCATTAAAATATTTCCATTCATGACCCCTTTTGACAAATCTCCCCACTGAGAAATAAAAACTATTGGTTTATCTCCCATAGATGTTTGCCATTGAAAAATCTTATTCATAAACATCCCTTGGCATATCTCTTGTTTATAACCCCTGTTGAAAAATTGCTCATTTTATAAATAACCTCCACAATACATACTTCATTGTTGCTTGCCCATTGAAAAAATCTCTGTAGTCTTAAATCGCCACCTGATGGTATAACCCATTTATGACCTTTGATGACAAATTGCCTTATTTTTTAAACACCTGTCTATTGGCATATGTCCTACTGCCCAGCTCATTTTACAAATATACCCATCATAAATATCCTTGTTGACATATACCCCATTGGCAATACATCTTGTATATCTCCCCATTCATATACACCTATCACTGTATCCCTGATTGGTGGCTCTACATTTACCAGGATCTATATTCATAAATACCTCCCCATTCCTCGGGTATAACTCCATTGATGATCAGTGGTGACAAATCTCTTTATTCTTAAATACTCACCAAGGGCATTGACAACCCAATTTGCAAATTTCATGATTGAAAATGCCAGTTAAACCTTCTCATACATTTTCACCTACTGGAGAATCTCTCTCATTGACAGCCTACGTTGACACATCTCCCCTTTCTTAGATACTTCTCAATATATCCCACACTCATGAGCACTTAATAAGTGCAAGTTTCCCACTCATAGATACAGGTTTATTGGCATACTTGTCTCAAACCCAGGTTACAATACTTGTCATTCATAAAATCTCACCAACTTGAATATATCTCTTATTGATGACCTCCACTGACAAATCTCTGTATTTATAAATTTCTGCCTATGACTTCTTCCAGCCAAGATGGAGTCACAGGGACTGGATTTACCCTCATGCCTGCAACAAACAAAAGAAACAGACAAAATACATGAAAAAAAAAGGTATTCAGGACACTAGATATCAGGCAATGAAGAACAGTGACCCTGAGAAAAGTCAAACAAATGAGGTGAGCCCTATGGCTGGTCCAGCAACCTTCCTTGAGAGAATTTCAAGGGCACTGCACAGAGAGGGGGAAGTGAGGGAGAGGCTGGTGAGTTCCTGAGGTGAAATGGAACTGAGAGTCTGAGGAGAAAAGGCAGCTAGAATTCATGGGACACACCACCAGAGTGGAGAAAACTGCTCAGAGAGAAGAAGAAGATCAAGTGATCTGCCTAGGATCCTCAAGTATTCAACAGAGTACCGATCAGCACACGTGTGAGGAAGCTAACTGACGCTAGGGAGAGAACCATCTGAAAGGGTAAGAAGAAATGATGTCTGATGCTCACGCAGGGCTGGGAATAGGGCCTGTTCTCACCAGGCAGACTGGAAAAATAGGGCATTGGATAGAGAATTCAAGAAGCTATTGCCTCCGTAGTGGGGACTAATTAGCCTTAGGCTAAGTACTACTCCAGATACACCTAAAAATTATATAAGCAAGACCTGTAAGGATCAAACTGTTTCCAAGTAACTTAGCTGTGTCCAGAACAAAACTCAAGATGATTTCTAGAAATGCATAAATATACAGTACCCAACAAAGTAAAATTTACAGTGCCTGGCATTCAATCAAATGTTACCGGGCGTGCAAAGAGGTAGGAAAGCAGGATACATGATGGGAATAATCAAGCAATCAACCCACCCAGAACTGACACAGAATTAGCAGACAAGGATATTTTAAAAGTTATTATAAATGTATTCCACATGCTCAGAATGTTAGTAGAAACATGGAAAATATTTTAAAAGACCCAAATACAGGACTTATACTTCTGGGACAATGGAGTAGATGCACTTTTCCCTATTCCTCCCACTAA